GGACCAAAGAGGATTTGAAAGTCCAAATATGCTTCTCAGCTGAACTACCTTCACCCACATACTCAGTGACTCCTGAGAACTGAAACCATGTGAGCATGACTGTCTTTGCAAAACCACACCATGAATTATGTAAAGTACTGGGAGATGGGAGGTGTCTCAAAATCGTAAAGATGATATAGGAATTAAGTCTCCAAAGCTATTTTGGTGTCTAATTCCTATTGATTCCATTCTGCATTCAAGTCTGAATTTATTGTGGGTTTCTCACTTTTTGCATATGAATGCCAAAAGGAAAATTTCTCTAATGTTCTCTACACTATACTGAAAACTAATCTTCTATGTCCTTGAAATTTAATTAAACCAGATAGTTTAAATTGTTTGCCCACCATATGTTGGAAAAAGAGTAGTGAAATTAAACAAATAAATCACATCAGAGAGTAAATGAAATACTCTGTTTGAAGCCAGCCCCTCTCTCATTTTCCTCATTGTTAAAACTGAGTCAATGCTGAAAATAAGTTTTTAAAAGTGGTCACGGCAAAGCATTTCAAAATGCATTGTATGGGAAACTATGTATGCAAGGCATTGAATGGACTATTTTTTCTAAACTATTTTACCCATTCTTGATTGCTTTGATGTGAAGTTAGTAGTATGAATTACATTCTAGACCTGACAGAACAGAAATAAAAGCTTTACAAAGATGGAAGATGAAGAAAGAATATCATATCAGAAATATAACCCCCCTTGATTTACATGTTGCCCACTGTAAAGCTAAGACAAAAGAATCTAATGACTTTAATTCATAAAGCACAGAAAATTATTAAACTCATAGGGCAATTAAAAATTAAGAAAAAAACTTAATTCTTGTTTGCTGAACATTGTTTAAAGCCAACACCTAGGTGTGCTCATTATGGCACCATAAGATAATACACATAAAGCTGAAAAGAAAAAACATCTGTAGAAAGCATTTGTCCACATCTCAGAAACTGTAACTAGTTTTCAAAGGAAAATTATTCTAAAATACACAGGAGTGTGGACATCTGAGAGGAAACATACAAAAGAACTCTTTCATCTTGCTATATATTTCCTTTTTGTTTCTCATCCTAGCTTGTGACCCTTTTCCCTATATCTTCATCCAGGACAGATGGAGTTATGACTATGTATTATGCAAGACTAATTCCAGTTCCCTTTAGAAGGATAAAGTCAATGACTTCAATGGCAGTGGATTCTGACACTCCAATGGCTTCCAGCTGGTCTTTGATTTTGGTTATAAAATCTATAAAAATATAAACAGCCTGGGATTTAAGTGAACGAGATCCTGTCTAGTTTAAAATTAATAAGGTTTATGTGTCATCTGATTAAAACAATGGTGGAGATGTCTGCAAAATCATTTGGACTGGTTTACCAGTGACTAAGCTGGTGAAAAGCACAGGTTGAAGACTGTCTTTGGATGAGTCTCCACAGTAGGGTATGTCAGATGGTGTGAGCTGAATATGACCTTGAGAATGAAGAGTCCAGTAGTTCACCAAGCCTCTAGGTTAGAGGAAAACATATCCACTATGTTAAAGGAAGACACCTGAAGTCAGTTCTTCATCTCACATTTTGAAATGTAAGGAAAAAAGGGTTTTATTTGTCAAAGAATCTGAATTTGGTTTTCCTTCTCTGTAACCCTTCCCCAAAATCCTTTATGTGCAACAGAATGTTGGACCATAATCAGAAATGTCAAATCATAGCCTTGCCACAAGGTTATGGTGTTTTAGAGACAGTTTTGTAAACTATATCCGTACTGCTAAAGTAAATCACATCTGGGTTTTTATTGTTCCTGAGGCCAGCTATCACCACATGGCTCATGACTGCAGTGTGTGTTGTTAGTCCCCAGTAGAGCAGGTTCATCTGGCAGAGAGCTTGTTGGTATGGCCCATGTCAGAGTGAGTTAACCCACAAGCAGTGTGGACAATGAAATTCCAGCACTTGGATTGACTCCTAGCTCTCTTCAGCATCAGGGAGGAAGTATTTCTGTCCATGTTGTTTTATTTTGGGTGGAACTAGTTTACGAGCTCAGGGGAACAATAGGATACAAACCTGACTCTGCAGTCTCATGGGAAAAGTATCCTCCCAAGCACAGACATGGAGGTCCTCACCTCTGCAGAGTTTCATTGTTAATTTTCAAAACTACTGACCAATTTCTGAGGGTTTTCAGGTGATGTCTAGTCAGTTGGGAGAGTTCTGATGGCATCAGCCTGTGAGACTGCAGATGCTGACAGTGCTCAGAGGGCAGGCAATATCAGGCTGCAAAGGACCTTCAGCTCCTGGGGGATTTTACTACTGAAAATCATGTGGTGGTTATGGAGCTGTAACACCTCCAGGGTTTGAGGTGGGGCTATAAGGACTATGGCTTTTCTTGCTTCCAGTGGCACTTAGATGATCACAACAGCTACAACTTAGATGTCTCTAGTGCTAAGTTTTGTTAAGAGTGTAATGTCAAGCATAGAAACAAGTGGCAGGGTAGAAACACAGTGCCATTCTTCTTATTAATTAATTAGCTAGTCTTTGGAAAAGTTTTTCCTGATAAGGACTAAAAAAAGCTATACAGACACACACTTTTTTGCAACCAGCAAAGAGCTTCATGTTGGGACAACAGGTAACAAACCAATGCAGATATTTATCCAAAAGAAAGAGATTCAAGTCTGCTGAAACAGAGAAAGAATGGGAGCACATTGTCCTCAGCCCTCAGGGGAATGTACTTCTTTTATCCAGGGTAAATGAGCATCTACTGCAGTCCTAAACAAAAAACTAGCATGGGCACACTTCTCTCTGGGTTTTGTGAGTAAGCAGTGACACAGACAACTGTCTGTGGGGAGAAAAACAGGGCTCTAAATCCCATCAGGAAACAAGTAGCTCCTTATGGCTAAAGGTTGGATGCTGAAGACCTGAAAGAATGTGACTTAAACATCCCTGTCCCAAATCTCAGATGTCTCCTCGCTTGAGTTACAACAGTGTAAGCTCAAAAGCAGGGCTGTGATGTTGAAGACAAATAGCTCGGCCCCATGCAACAAAGCTGTGACCCAGCAGGGCACAGTGAAAGTCAGTGAAAGTTTCCATGTCCTGCATGAAGCTCAGTATATTCCTCCCCCTCCCCCCCCCAATCCCTCAGGAGTAACAGAAATTAATTTTTTAAAAAATGAATGAAGTACATATGGCAACACAGCTGCTGAAAATCTGTTACCCTTTTTAATCACCTCTCATGTCCTGGTGTGCATTTTATCCCTCAAACTCAGTAAAAAGGGAAAGCGCTGTGAGGAAGGCAGTTCCCTATGTTACTGAGGGACTTAGTGGCGTTATTAACTCGTGCAAGAGAAGCCTTGCCTATAAGACTACTGAAAACATCTTTGAAGTACTCTACACGCTTATAATCACTAGGACAAGCAGAATTTCACAGTTCTCACAGAGGGACTGAAAACTGCAAATAAATAAAATTGAAAAAGAAGAGGGCTGTGATTCTTTTCCTTAATGATGGTGAGCCTTTGAAAACAAAGGTCTATAAACCCTGGATAAGTGCTCAAACAGCCTTGTAATATCACAATTTTCCACCTGCTTATGGGTTCACTGTAGAATAGCCCTCAGGGTGAGATGACAGGGGCTCCAAAGCACTGTTTACTGCCTATCCTTCTTCCATAAGCACTCAATGTCATAAGCAGTCAGAGTGACTATTTCTTATTTGGCGGCCTTGGATCATGCTACGAGTTTTTGACATATGCATGTTAGCTCCAAGGTAAGGAGAACAAGTGTAGTGATATACTCAGTTCCAGTGCTGGAGCTGTGAAGGGAGAAAAACGCCATTCTTTTTGGTGAAGGAGCAGTGATTTATGTCCTGAATAGGTGTATTTTATCCTCCCTCCCCACCCTCAAGTTTAGCAAATGTACTCCATATTCAATATCTTGCGATTGTGATGTTTTTTCTCTCAGTCTCTGATTCTCTGTAAAGATCAGAAGGCTGTGGTTTGGTGAGAGATACAAGGGAGTATTCCCTGTGAGGAAGTGGGCTCTGTGTGCACCCAAGAAGCAGTCATTTTAAGTTCACAATGAAGCATTTGTCAGCTGAAGAGAAGGTCTTTAACTAAGGCAAGCTGCCGGACCTACAATTTATCCCTGCTGGAATAAAAAAGAATAAAGCTGCTTGTTTGTTGGTTTTGAATCCTTCATGGAGGGCTGCCAGTAACTGTTAACTTGTGTATTATTGTGCTGTCAGACAGGAGAAATGTCAGTGAGAATTTAGCAGCACAGTCACAAACCTTTCATCACACAGTTATCACGGTGATAAAGTTCAGTGGTAGTTACTCACCTCTCCAAAAGCAAATATTACCCACTCAGACAAGAGAGAGAATGTATTTCTGCAAGGTAGTGCTATATTAGCTCGCGTTATTGCGTTTAACTCCCAGATACCACTAAATCCATGTGCCTAGTGCACTTCGAAGTATTGATTCTTGGAGTTCTCCTGTGAGCAAGGAGACACCATGACCTTCCCTCTCTTCATATAGAGATGGAGGTGCAAGGCTGTGGTTAGACTGAGCAATAGATACACATTGCCATGAGCTTGGGCCCTTGGATCTCAGGGTCAACAAATTCAATCCGGTCAGAGCAGACTCCCTGCTGCCAACGTGACCATGTTTGCTCCCCACAGCAGCCCAAGGAGCATGATCAGAAACCTGTGGAGTAAGATCTCTTCCCTATGGGGCTGGGGTACAGCTTGCTGCTCAGGACACTCGATTTAGCCATAGCTAGAAAAATTAAAGCCCTGATTCATAAACACCAGTAGTCACCTATTGTCCATGTATTTTTACGTGAATTTTAATGGCTTGCTTGCCTTTGAAACCTTCACTTTGTATCATAGCTTAACCAGCTAATTTGCTTAGGTGCTTTGCTGAGTTGCACCCTAACTTCTCAAGTACATGACATGTTAGACAGACAGGTGATTGTGTATCTTATTCGTCTTCTTTATCCTTCAGGAAGATGAAGTTGCTCGTGACAGCCGATTCAATTTCAGTGGCTATGGCATGGGTCACTGCCTCCAAGTCAAAGACGGCACAGCAGTCAAGGCTACTCCACCCAACCCACCTCCACCACCACCAAAGGATTCAGATTCCATCAAAAAGAAGTTTGTTGACCGTGCAAAAAGGATTGATACAATATCCCGTGCTGCATTCCCACTCGCCTTCCTCATTTTCAACATCTTTTACTGGATTACATACAAAATTATACGGCATGAGGATATTCACAAGAAATAGGCAATTCTGGTTCACCAGGACTTCTTAGCCAAAGTGATCCACATGTAAATATACAGTCAAATGTCTTTCTGTCATTTGGACTAAAGATTTCTTCCCCCTCCAGGACACTGAAGAACAAATGAACAAAGAGGAAAAGAAATATAGAAGGAAAAGTGATTGCATGAAAAAATATGCCAGTCAAAGAGGGTTCCCCCTTTATACTCTCAGTGTTGTTCTTTGAGATTCAGCATTGATTAGACATCTGTCAATGGGGCCAAATTTTACCCAGCTTTATCATCAAGATATTATCTTTCAAAACAAAACAGAATCAGAAAACAAACAATACTCCAAAAATATCTACCAAGAGACTGTGATGGCTACAGTACAGTGAGTTATAAGAGGACCAAACTTTTTCAGGATAATGTTGCCTTTCTATTTGAAACAAGTCTACTGAGCTACATTCCATGACCATGTCTGTAGTTAGTGGTTTCACCAAGGAGTCCTTTTGTGGGTTGTAAATTATTTATATTGGCAGGGGAGAGGAAAAATAAAAAGAAAAAAAAAAAGATTTATACTTTACTATCCTTGTGGGTGTGCATTTTAATATTACTTGCTTTACTAGAATTGTAATTTTGGGGTTGAACTTGTGTGTCGTGTGATTTATTTGATAGTTGACACTCCAAAATCAGTGAAATTGCCCAGTTTATTTTTGTTGGAAGACAGTGCACTTACTTCATTTTATTTTTGCTGATTTTACATGCAAATTGAGGTGCCAAACTGTATTTTACCTATTGTGCTACCCTGTACCACACTACTTAGTAAGAACTTGTTTCCTCAAAGGTGTAGCTCAGTTTAGCATCCAGTTTCTATTACTGCTCTCATTGTAGCTGCAATCAATAGCTCTATAGGTAAACACAACTTGTTTACAGACCTCTAATTTATATCTTTACTCAAAGTGGCTATCATTTTAAATATCATTAATTAACCTAAGAATTTTAAAACTGTACTGTGATTTTCAGAACCTGTTACCTTTTGGTGCCAGATCTGCATTATTCAAATCCTTGCTACATGTTTTAAAGTAGAAAAAAAAAAAAAAGATGGTATTTTTGCTTACACAGAAGAAGACAACCTGTAACATAAGATTAATCAAACATTAAAATTTTACACTTGCTGTAAAAGGGTTTATTAAAAAAAAGATATTTGTTCAATTTCAATAAAGCTAAATGTGATACTAATATTTCTTCATTCTTTTCTTCATTCTTTTCTTCATTTGCAGCAACAGGGCTGTTTGTTCCCAGGCCCAGGTCTTCTGCCACTCTGTGGGCAGAAAGAGGGTGAAGAGCATCCTTCTGTTGACCTGACTTAGCACTCCAAATTTTGCTCTCTGTCCTGCAGCAAAGGGGCTGTTGCAGCCCCTGGGAGTATGTCAAGGACTGCATTGGAAATGTGGCTGGCGCGGGACAGAAGCATTTGCAGAACATTTGCATGTGCAGAGCCAGGCCTGGGGCAGGAGGCACGCCGCCCCCTCTCACAGCATCCCTGCACAGGCTCACACAGGCTGTGACTGCCTTGGAGGTATCCTAAACTTCTTCCTGATTTTCTTCCAGCTTCATCACTTTGGTGAGCTGAAGGACATGCTGAGGTGGCCTATGTCGGGTGCCTCCTATAAACACTGTAATAACCAATTGTTTAAAAGCAAACTAAATTGCATCCAGAATACTGCCCTTCCCTTGAGAGGCCAAAATATACACTCTGTAGCTGCCCAGCATAGACATATTTCCCTCCTTCCCTAGTGAGATGTGGTACAGAGACATACTGCACCTGCAGCATTTCTCACTTTGCCCTGACTCCTGGATGAGCCTTTGATGAGAGTTTGTTGAGTACAGCCTGTATTTATGCGTGTGTGTCTCTATCCCCACGCCTCTCCACGTCGCTGTCTACAACTGCTAGGATTTGTTCCTTTCCCAAATCTGGGGAAGGAACCTAGAGATCGTGACAAGTCTGACTCCCAATCAATGAAGTAAATTAGAAGTAAAAAGCCAGTGCATTTTATCTCCCCATAACCTTCTCAGCTCTTTGGACTCTCCTGTCATACCTGTGACAGAATTGGCTACAGTCATCTTCATCTCTTTGAGACAGTGGATCCAGATGTGACTGACAGCCCTGGAAAGGGAAAAACTTCAAGACAGCTGTTTAAATTTTTGTTTTGCAAAATTAGCTTTTGACTCAAATTCAAGTATCATAATATTTGCAATTTTTATAGCGTAAGAGTTGCTTTTATTCTTTTTTAAAGTGAAATTAATTAATGGATAATGTAACAGAGGAAAACCTCAGCGCAACTCTAGTCCCATGGTCTCTGGGAGGGAGATGATAGCCATCTGTAAGCTATGTTTGTGTGGAAAGTTAGGAGCCTTTGTTGGCACATAAACAGTTAGAGCTCACTTTACCAGCCCCTCGTTCCAGAAATTTTGCTTTAAACAAAGATATAAAGCCCGGATTAATGTTAATTGTCAGCATCCAAATGTATTCCTAAGAAATGTCAGAGCCTACTGCCCATAGCTCCCCCATATGACCACAGACCACTGCAGTAGGAATGCAAAATGGTTCTCAGCTGAGGGATGTTTCTACGTCACCTTTTGTAGCAAAGCTCATGTCCCTCCACAATCCACATGCTAAATTCACATGTACACTTTGTAGTGGCTAAATAGTTTGCTAAAATATTCTGCTGCTCAGATTTGAGGTATGCTAACACTATCCATGGGAAAATTGCTCCACTATTGCCTTGTACATGAGCATAGGTCTAGTCATGGGAGTAATCAGTGCACAAAATCCTTACAGGTTTCTCTCTTTTTGAAGACAGACAGAATGTATAGCTACACAGCAATTAGCTGTGAATCTTAAAATCATCTGTCTAAATTTTGGGCATAAATGATGCATGCACATGGACAAGGCCCACCAAGCATGACAATTAGGAATGGCCACATGATACAGAAGACTTCTCAGCATGCTGGTCAGCAGCCTGTGAACTGTCTCACACAGAGATGGTTTGTTACCAGAGGAGTATCAAAGAACCTTTCCTCAAAGAAAGTGGCTGGCGTCAGAAAAATGTATACTGGCTGAGAAACTGCCTCCTGTTAAAAAGTCAAATAACAAAGGTAGCAGGACTTACAGAAGGCCACAACTTTCCTAAAGAAATGCTCAGTAGGGTTATCAGAGAAACAAGACTCAAAACCCCATCATCTTGCACTCAGAGAAGCAGCAGAATTAAATAGTGAAGCACTTACAAGAGGAAAAAGAATGGCTTAGAAAATAAGTCCTGGATAAATAGCCTTTGTGAAGCAGGAGACACAGTGGGATGGAAGGAAAAAGACCCAGAATTAATTCTGAAGAACTTCAAGACATATTGGAAAACCTGCAGGTTACTGTTGTAGCTGGTAAGATAAAATGAACTCCTAAGGCAATAAAACTACTTGCATTTAGCTATAAAACAATTATGATGATTTCTAATTTATCAAGAAAACTTTAAAAGCTTTAAGCATGTCTTTAAAGGATGCAGCATCAGGTCAGGTCATTGATATCCTGGCACTCAAGGAGAAAGTTTTAGCCATTTCTCACCAGACAGATGCTGTTATATGCTGTGATAAAGCCTAATCAATAAAACTGCAATAGGAAGAAAGTTTTTTTAAAAAATAAAGGCAATATGAAACGAGAGATCTTTTTGTTCCTTTTTCTTATTTCTTTTTCTCCATATTTTTTCAAGCAGCAGAACCGCCACTTGTGATATACTGAATCATATAATAGGTGGTGTAGCAATAGAGGATTTTAGAGTCTTCGATATGAGATACCAACAATTCATAACTGCTATGGGACGACTCCAGGATACACAATGCCTCTGGGATTAGATTTTTTTCTGTGCTACAGAGGTGAAAAGTAAGAGCCAACCCCATTCATCCAGAGATGCTGAGACTTTCTCACTCTGCTTCCCTTCTTCCCAACCATGAGATGCGGAAGGCATTAGGAAAGAGCTGATGGAAAAATAACTTTTGTCTACTGCAGGCTGAAATGCTACAGCCCTTCATCTTTGTGCAAGCCTGTCACTGACATTGGTGGCACAGGAGCTGCTGACCAAATGTGAGGCACCAGCCAAATCTTACCGCCTCACATAGCTGATGTTATTGAAAACATTGTGGAGGAATATGAGAATATAACCTTTGAGATTATGGTCATGGCCATTTTCCAGGAAGGGCTCTCACTGGGCTGTATTGGTGTCTTTGCCTCCGCAGCAGGAACCTGCACCACATGGAAGTCACGTTTCATGAACTTATTCAGAGGATTTGACCCAGTACGATACTGTCATTCCTATATTTAGAAATACTTATATTTAAAAATGTCTTTGATGTGTAGACGTCAAAATTACATGCATAACTTTCTAATACTTATTCCTTTAAAATTAGAATACAAGGAACAAAGAAACTAAAGCTGTAGGATGAGCTTTGCGTTACACAAAGTGATAGGAAAATAAATTTAATCTATTAATTTTCATTATCTATAATAGAGTATCGGTGGAAAGTAAGTTCCCGCCAGATTTTCAAAGTAATTTATTCTAATGCTTTTTGACATAGAAGTCTGCATCTCATAGTGTTTTGGAAAACTAGAAAACCAAAACCAAGGCTAACTAGAAGAATAATCTGAGCAAAGTCACTCTTTCTCCATAAAGGCCCCTTACAGATTTTGCTTTAAAAATTAATCTTCTCTGGTTTGACAGGAAGAGAATAAGAAGATATATATGCCATTTGAAGATACTTTCCTTACTTTTGCAGGGAAAATGTGAAATGTTATCACATTTAGGGCTAAGCTGCAGAACAAGAGCAATTTCACCATTTCCAGACAAACCCATCTAATCAATTTACTTCCAAGTCCTACTCAGTGCTCACTGAAATCAGGGGTGGGGGTGGGGAAAAGTGTTTTATTGACTTCAATAACTTCTAGATCAGTCCCTAATGAAGGATAAATTTCCAATG